TGATTGGCTAATATCACATGCTGGCGGGGTTTAACCAAAAATCCGATCATCCAATCAACAGATTTTTAACCATGCTAGATTTTTCTTGTTGTTTTTTGTACATTATTACATAAGCATAACAACCTCGAAATTAAAACTCAGTTAGCCAATAAGGACTTGTAAATCATGATCATAATTGCACGATAATATCGTATTGATGATAAATATTATTTATCTCTAACAATATCGGATATATATTAATTTATCGGAATATCGAATTTATATCGGATTCATGTCGGATTTTCGCCTTGATTTCGGAATTTAGGATTATGAATTCGGATTGCTTATTAAAATCCGAAATATTTCGGAAATAGAAATTTAATTTAGCCCACAACATTAATGATATATGAAATATATGCAATAAGTATATTATATATAAATATGTACAATAGGTATAAAATTCTAAGATTACAATAAATTGATACGTAATCAAACAATATCATTTCTTGACACCTCATTAAGATTACTATTATTAAATTCCCTAATACTTTCAAAACTCCTATTTAAATTATTTCTTTCATTATTATTACTTCTATTCTCTATATAAGCGACAAATTCACCACTAACACCACTACTAGTAAAATTTGTAAAATCATTATCTACAATATCAGTCATATCTACAATGTCATTTTGTTCGATAATAACACGTGATGAACGAGATAATCTGATTTTTTTGATATAATCTATTATAATTATAATGGTGATAAGAAATGATACACTGGACAAAGACCACATGCATGATAAGTTTGTTAATCGGATATAACAAAAGGTGAGAAGGGATGAAGGTTGATAATTATAGGAAGATGGACATGATAATTCTGGTATTGAGGATGATTCATGAATTGTAAAGTACGTATAGGCGACTTTTGTTAAAAAAAAAATTGAAAATAATAAAAAATAGAATAATCATTAATGAAATATTAGAATTTTTGGTAATAATAATAATTTACTTACTAGTAACACTTATCCATAATAATTCTAATAATAATAATCTGAAAAATATAAATGTTAATTGTGAAAATTGTGAATAGAGAATACGTAATTGAGAATAGTAATTGAGAATAATGATCGCGTACAGTATTGCATTAATAATGATGTGTCTATTAAATTTGTTATAGTAGTTTAGAAGAATAATGGTAAACACTAAAACTAAATACAGTAAAAAAAAAAAAAGATATTTTATTAACAAATCGATGACAAATAAGCAGATCTTATGAAAAAAAAGTTCAAAGACTAACCGAACGTGCATAACGTCGTTATAAAATATCTATATAAAACATACAAGAGACATACAAGTGACATACAAGAGACATACAAGAGACATACAAGAGACATATAAGAGACATACAAGAAACATACAAGAGACATACAAGAGACATATAAGAGACATTTAAGAGACATATAAGAGTGAATTTTTATATAAAAGATTCTTAATATTATAAGTTTAAGAAAAAAACTTACAAATACTCAATAACCCAATTGACATGTATAACAACATTTTCATAACGATATTGATTAAGTAATATAATTTTTGTAAGTTCTTAAAAAAAATTCAACCATTTAATATTAATGAGGTTAAAAAAGCAAGAGAATACTACGATAGATAATAACATACCTACCTATCCAAGGAGTAAAAGATAATATCACTGAACATAAGAAGAACAAACACCTAAATAAAATTTCCATAACACTTTTTTTTTTTTAAAAAAAAAGAAAAAATCAAAAGTAAACGTAATCGTTCTCGAAACGTCAATTATATTTGTTGTTTAAAAGAAAGACATTTTTAGGGTACAAAGCCCATTCATGATTAGGATGAAATTTAACGTAGGGTTATGATAAAACCTATGACAAAATTTTTCCCGCAGAATTAACGTTAACTGTTAATTTTTTTTAAGTACGTTGTACAAACTAAATGTTTTCGGATTTTAATGTTTCGTAAAGATGCACGAGTACTACGGTGTGCCAAAAGTTTCATATTTACTAATTTGAATCTTTGAGTCATGAAAATTCTAAGTATATCAATATGAATTTTTTTTTTTATATACTATAAAATGAGTAATTCGATTAGCATTCCAATCTTTCTTCTCTGAGTATTATTTACACAAGTATATAATTTGATATAAACTGAAAATTTTTAACATTCATTTGTACCTCATTAAGCTAAATTTTTTTTCATCGATATTGATCACATTCATTCCAAAAAATTTTTTATGTTAATTGATAGAACATCATGTGTTCTATTTCTCCAAAAAATGTTTTCCCAAAATTATAAAAATGGTTAATAAAGAAATCAACATCAACATATTAACAAATATATATATTACGTATTATCGCTATCGTTATATAAAGTTTATATTAATCAATAAAAAAGAATAGTTTCATTAATTAAAAAAATAATAAATTGCTACATTAATTAAAAAAAATTTTTTTTTTTATGAAATTTATCTAACATACATATTTGATATATACACATATATACAATATACATATACGTATATATATATATATATATAATTATATCTACGTATAACATAAATATATATATCGATATACTAAAATAAAAGAAATCAAGTAGTTTTATCACGTGAAAGAATTTCTTGTGCTTTATCGACATTAATGTCTTCCCCTTCAACATCATCATCCCAATAAACTACACCTAAACAATCGACTGTAAGCCAAAGCACGGCAAATAAAATAAATGACCACATAGCAATTATATTTGCAGACCGAATTATACAAGCTGTACGAATAGCTGCAACTTTGTAAGGGTAATCACTTGGACATGTAAATGGTATGCCCACCATTTCATTTGCTGTATAATTCGTGTATATTACTATTAAAAAAAAAAAAAAAAGAGAAAGAAAAGGTTAAAATTTGAAATACGAAAAAATCTAATGTGGAATATAAATTACCCGCTGTGAATATCCAGAGTAATATTATAGGACTTTATAGTTTTTTTTTAAAAAAAAATTAAGAAATATAAATCCTCAACAGTGTCAAGTGTCAAACAAGTGATGACAAAAAACAAATGAAATAAAATGAATACCTCGACCATTGATTAAACTCATGAGCAGCTTCAATTAATAATTGATTACATCCGTTTGGTTTACACAAACCCTTTATAATGAAACTTGCTGGATTTTTTTTAATTAAATGTGTGTTTGTAAATAGCAACAGCATAATATAAGCAATTATTGGACTATTCAATGAAAATTTTACAAAATTTTACCAGGAAGAATGAGAGAAATCACCAAGTACCTAAAATATTTGTATATATGAATATTTTTTTTTACAGTAAATGGGTAATTAACATTGAATTATTTTTTTAATATAATTTCTAAAATCAACAACTTTGATAATTAGTTTAAAAAAAAACTATCTTACACAATGTCTGAAGTTGTCAATTTTAAACCATACACAGCGATTTCAGAGAAAATTATCAATTTTGCATATTCTTTTAAACAAAAGGTTGGATAATTAATAACCGACATAATAGACGCGTATCCTAAATAAATTAAACTTACGTAAACACGGACAAAGAAAAGATAATACCAGTATTGGTATACCCAAACATATTCTCACATAATTTGTTGTTTTTTCTCGAGTCATGTTAGCCGGAACAAACAAAGCATGTTCGTAAAAAAAATTTTTTTTTGTTTATGAAATATAAGGAATGATGTATATAAAATTCCTTATTAAACTTTTTAACGAAACATATGTAATTTGTAATTCGTGAATAATGATATCGTGAAAAAAAAAATCAAAAATCAAAAAGAAATAGGATTACAGAGATTTGCAAATGGTTGGTCTATTACTAATGTTCTCATCGCCTCAACTTAGCCCAAGTGAAAGAAATGCATTCATTTGTTTGTTTGTTTTATAACTTTGCCGAGCCACAGTAAAAATATTGTGTACGTATGAACAAGGACAATGTATAGTAGAAACACGTGAATTAATTCAATGAATCTCGGGATTTTTGTTTGTTTAAAGAAAGAATTTATCATCATCAAGTATATTATTAATTTATATTTTCTACCTCTCGTTTTTGATTCATAACAAAAACACGAAATTTCAAATTCAAATTAAAGATCTGCGGAACGTTCCCCATCATAAAACTCAATGTTCGCGAAATCAGGGTTTACACAATCTTTAATTCTCCACAAAATAGCAAAAGCGATAAATAACCACATACAAATTGTATTTGCTGTATAAATCTGACATGCTTGATTTAATTTTTTTGAGCATAGTGTTTGATCGGATGAGGATGCCGTATAGAGCACTGATATTCATAAAGAAGATGTGAGTCATTAAGCTACATATATATATAATAAATCAAAAAGGTTTTCACTTACTTGCAGTGAGTATCCAAAGTATAATTAAATAACTGTTTAAAGGATATATATATATATATATATATATGTATTTTAATGAATTAATTTAGACATATTGATGACAAACAAATGGCTTTTACTTTAGATTCAAAGATGGAAATTACTTCGCCAACATTGATAACTTTTGTGTTATCATTTCAGAAATTCGTTGATGATTTAAACGTTCACAACCGAATGATCCTTGCACGATTAGATAAACTAATCGAAAACAAAACAAATTTAAGAACGTTAAAAAAAGATTATCACCCATTTCACAAAGATGTTCAGATCTTTACCTGGAAAGACGAGTGAAACGGCAAAATATCTATCGGGGGAGGGTTTTTTGATTTTTTTCGGTTTAAAAGTGTATATATATTTATACATATATTTATAAAAATGTTTTTTTTTTTATAATAACTCACACAAACCATTCATAGTTTTTTTTTCTTGAAAAGAAGCCTTACATTATGTCAATAGAGTTTACTGTCGTATGATCATGTAAACCTAAAAGAAGAACTATTACCGCGTATTCTTTATTATATTCAAGTAATAATAGCAATAATAATTAATTAGTAAGATAATCATACATTAATAAGAATTTAAGAACTTGACTTACGCAAACAAGGGCAAAGAAAAGCCAAAATTAACAAGGGTATTCCTAAACATAGACGTATCCAGAAATCTTTTTGTTGCTTTGAAGTCATCGTTTAATTTAAGGAAGAAATCAGAATCGGTTAAATATATATAAAATATTGTAAAACGTAGAAATCATACAACCGTTTTTTTATCAAAAAAAGAAAATAATCAGAGTTTTCTGAATTATGATATCCATCTATTCTTATTTCATAATTCGAGACTCTATCAAGGAAAAAATAATTCCTTATTCATTCATTAAAATGATCCAAGCCTTCATGTATCGATAATGCTGAGCATTTATCGTTATCGTTATGTTATGACCAAACAAGACATGAATACTTTAGAATTCCCATTTTTTTCAAAATTGTTTTCTGTTTCACAGCCTCAACAAATTAACAACAAACAGAAGGCTCGGATTAACCTTCTTGAAGTTCCTTCTTGAAGTTGATATTTATATCAATTTCGCTATTTGTTATCTCTAATTCTCTTTTACATTACATTACATTAAACGTTAATGTATGTATCCGAGTAATTGATTTAAGTTAGCCAATAACGATAAGAGAAAATGATTTACCATACTTTAAACTGTACATTTAGATACGTTGGGTAACTTACCCAAGTTATTTTAACTCATTTATTTTAAGGTAATGTTACGTGAAACTTAAATTGTCATCTTTGTTTCGGAATAACTCGGACATTACCCGAAAAATTTAGAACCCTCATTTTCAATATATATTAATATATTAAATGTATTTTATTTAAACTTTGAAATTGTATACCAGATATACATATAGTTAACTCTCTTTAAGTGCAATCTTTCTAAATCCTGACCCAATAAATTACAATTAAAGTTAAAGAGAATATATATATATATACAGTGTTATGCTATAGAAAAGATATTGTATTATGGAATTTGTTAAAATCTGTTACAATTATAATAAAATCAAATTAAAAAAGATAAAAAAAACCTATTCATACACTTTTATCAACAATTCGGACTTTCAAAAAATTTTATAATATCTGATTTCGTTTTAATCTATTATCAGTAACTACAGTATATATTTCTTTACAAAAAAAAAAAAAAAAAAATAAGCTCAACATGTGACACTTACGTCATAATTCTAATTGATATACTTAATATTTTGGGCAAGTTACTAAAAAAGATGTCAGAAGCACTTTTATACGTATTATATAAGAGGCGCTTGAAATGACATTTTACAATAACAGTAACTTGACATTAGGGTTCCGCATGGGACTCAAAGAATAGATTTTGCTGTAAACGAATTTTGAATCTCAACAGACAATTTTGAGACAACTGAGTCAATAAGGGCTGGTCCATGCGGAACTCGACTTGTGATACAAAGTTATACGTACAAACTTTATTTTGATGCCAGAACTGATAAGACTGCAGAAATTTGTATAACAAAACTTAAATGGAGTCAATCACTTAACCTTTCTACTAATCAGACAATATTTACTATATAATATATAACAATTAATAAACTTTAATATTTATATTTTAAAAAAAGAATCCAATTGTTATTTTAAACTTTATTTAAACTTGTTTATGTCTATTACGCATCATTTTCGTTATTTGAACAAAGCTAAACATACCTTAAATCACCGTATACAAGACCCGAGTCTCTTACCAATTTTAGGAGACGCTTAAAACCGGGTACATCATGAAATTATTATTAACGTTGTCTTGGGGTTAGATTAGGGCATGTATAGGTTAAAATTAGATGAGTATTATATGTAAAATTGTCCCCCAACATTTTTAGACACTCGTTTCTTGTATTTTTCCAATAATAGGCTGTCTGGGTATACTATATAATGGTCTATTATCTACTATCATCTTAGGGAATCTTGTATATGGTGATATTGTAATATTGTTATATAGTGATAGTGATTTAAAGTTGTATACCGTTACGAGTTGGTGTTCATGTTTAGATAATCTAACGCTAATATTTGATATAAAAGGAAAAATAATAAAGTGGGCAAATCGTTAAATTTCTTGTACAGAAAAGTGGTCAAAGATGTATGTTTGCCGTAGTACAAGATCCAAAAATTCAAATATCATTATAATCACGTAACGTTACAAGTATCGCATGTATCAGTATGTACGTAATCACTCACGCACGCCGTTGAGTTTGTCAATTTATCAATAAATTTTTAGGCTTCATTCTGAAAAGGTAGATCTTTAATGTTTTTAGAATTTATAAAATTTTTTAAAATATGTAGAATGTATGCCAGGTTTGTGGCGCAGCAAAATTCTTTAAAGTTCATTAATGTTAAAGTTAAGGTTGGGTTATGGGTTAGTAGAAAGTAATTTATATAGTAAAATTGCCCAATGAAACCTTTTTATTAGAGCACCAAAAGAGGTTTCTTATGTAGAGAAAGAATTTTCTTGGATCGTGTTACGTTGCGCCTGATCTTTGAAATCTGATTCGTAGTTCAGTAAATTTGCAAGCCATATATCTCGTGATTTCATATTCCTGGTGTGACCTAAATTCGTGTTTGTACAAGCTTCAAGCTTGTATAAATGATCATCACTTACTTTTTTTTTTTCCTCCGCATCCTGAAGGACCTGAGGGATCCCTCACATCTCTTTAAGGCCAGTATTATCGTTCTGCAAAGATCGGTCCTGCGAATTACATCACTACTTGCTTATTAATCGACTGATCAAGTTTTAACGTCAATTTAGCAATTTACACAAGCATAAATAGTAAGTGACTTATTATTTCGCTATCTTCTTTGACGATCAACGATTATCAATCCACCTATCCAGTAAAAAATCAAATTAAAAAAAATATATAAATCTATATTGATGTTAATTGAAGAATCAACTGCAAACATAAATATTGGTTAGAACTTTTATTTTATTATATTAATATTGAAATCATATTACTTCTGTATTGCACAATTTTGGATAATCTAATGATATATCAAAAAAACATTCATCAGATATAAAAATAGTCGGTAAGCATAAAAATTAGATGACAGGTTGAAATCTGCTACGTTAGTTCACATGAAGGTGAAAATCCGCTTTTGCATAATAAAAAAACATAAGTTAAATGCGAGTTTCACCCTAACGTGATCTACATGGCAGGTTTTACTAATTTACAGTGCGAGTTTCACCCAGTATTATTATACGTATTGCATTTAACTGTGAAATAACTAATAAAGCAAATAACGATTATAGAAAATTTCTGATTGTGAAAAATATGCGCATTGTTGCAAATACACAAGTGATGTCTAATATCAGGTACGTACATATGTGATTTTTATATGACAAAACAAGAAGGAATAGGAATGTTAATGATTACAATAAGAGCTTCAACTTCTTTACTAGTTTCGTAACCTTTCGCCAGTTTCGTCACTTTTTGCCAGTTTCGTCACCTTTTACAAGTTTCATCACCTTTCGCCAGTTTCGTTCGAAATCAGTTTCACCTTTTACCAGTGGTGAAACCTCTAGGCTTCGTCTAAAAACTCTACCACAACCTTCACAAAACTCATCAGCAACACTTGCAAGTCACATCAAAAAAGGACCCACCGGATTCTTTAAAATCACACTACGTAGATCACCTATAGGATTACCTAAAAAACTTCGTGCTGTAGTAAAAGCTCTGGGATTATCTAAATTATCTCAAACAGTTTATCACTCACAAACTCCTATTATTGCTGGTATGATTTTGAAAGTTAAAGAACTTTTGGAAGTTAAAAATGTTAAAAAAGTACCGACTCCTGAAGAGCGAAAACATTATACTGAACCGGGCTATGTGGTTATTAAGAGATACAATGAACCTGTTCAGGTTTGAATATATATGTATATGAGATTTACATTATACAAAAAAAGAATATATCTATAATAAAGCTCAAAAAATAAATTTCAAATAAAGTTCAAAGAATATATTTCAAAGAATAAATTTCAAAGAATAAATTTCAAAAATAAATTTCAAAGAATAAGACCTTAAAAAAATAAAGATTTTATATTTTAAAAAACATGATTTTTTTTTTAACTTGCTTTACATGACTTAGAGATGGCAAAAAATAGTTTAATTTATTTTTCACGTAATGATAATTTTATATTTTTTTATTACGTTTATTATCAAAGTTAATGATTATTAGAATCTTGTAATTATGAGTTTTTCTTAGTTTCTTTCAATTTTTTAAGAGAATTCGTTATGGATCCAGCTGGGCAATTCTCTGAACCGTAATTAAGAATGAAATCTCCTTCCTTCCAATATTTAGGTGACGCGCTAAGTGGGTACTCTTCGTGACTTAGTAATAACATCTGTTAAAGTGATTAAAATGATAAATATTAATGTAAGAATAGTCATAATAACCATTAAAATAAATATTAAAATAAAAATATTAAAATAACGTACACGTTGTTTAAATTCGGGAAATTCTTCTAAAAGTTTCCACATAACTCCTTCTTCTTTCATTCTCTTATTCCTCAATGCTTGCACATTTCTTATAAACCCAAAACTCCATCCTGAATGTTTAAATAATAACATTCCTGCGTTAAATTCCTCTTCTTCTTTTGTAGGTTCTGCCACTACAATATCTACTGTTTTATCAAATGTTTCTTTTCCTATCTTATATATTTCACTTTCATCAATATTATCATCTTTAACGATTCTTTTTCCAACAATTAAATAAAATTTTTTAATCATTTCTGATAATGAAACATTATAATTCGTTATAACTGAATTAGTATCAATCCAAAGAATCCAATCATAATATGGTAATGTCATTTTTATCGTATCAATATTTCCCCATGTTATCATTCCACGTCTATAAGTTTGTAACGGAATTATTGGGTATCTATGTTCTTGTGCATATATTCGTTTGTTTTCTATTGATTCAAAAGCTATATCTATTATTGATTGTTTACAATCAACAAATCGATCTTTAAACGATGAACTTGTTACCACTGCTATTTTAGGTTCTCCTTCTGATGATGTTGTGAAATGACAAACTGGTACATATGAAATTGAAAGATGTTCAGTAACTTGATTGAAATCTTCTGTCATTTGTAATTTTCCAACTCCTATCGTAGTAATTTGAGGAATTTCTTCTATTTTTCCTGTCCATAAAATAAATCCTTCAGGATCATTTATGAAAAATATTTCTTCTAATTTATTTGAAAGTGTTTGTGATTTTTCTTTGATATAAAAATATGCTTGAGTTATTAAATTTGAATATTTGGAATTTTTTATGACTTCTTTATTTTCTATTATCGTTTTAAAAGCCTTCTCTCCGATAATCACCATATTATCAGCTAATGGTGTCTCAAAATTACCCCAGATAATGTTTGGTAATTTGGCTGAAATCTTTTCGTTATCCTTATCTTGGTAACCTTTGTTTAATAAATTATATTCAATCATTTCTAGGTTTACGATAGAACTTTCATCCATAAGTACTAAATGATCAAATGTTATATTATAGTCTTTTTGGGTTTTGACCTGTGAATATTATGAATATAATGAAAATGATATTTAAGTATATATATTTTTTTAAAAAAATATATTTAGATTAATTACTCTAAGATACAGTCGGACTTCTCTAATCATATTTTATATGTTTAGTGTTTTTTTAAATTAGGTACAAAAAAATAAGAAAGAAAAAAATATATATATATAATTTGCTTATATATAGTTTATATAACAGCTTATATAATAAACTTATATAGGGGAGAAGCCTAACTTTATTAAAAATAATATTCAAAATTTACTTACCCAATTAAGAACAGTCTCTTGAGTATAATTTGTACCAAGTAAATGTTGAAATTCCACCATATCATTATTCTCTACGATTTCACTTATGAAATTTCTATATAATTGTTTGTTCTTTCCAAATTGATATGGAGTAATCAAAAACTTATAAAAAATGTTCCGATCATATTCAATACAAGGTTCTAAATTATCTTCTATACCAAATAAAATATCCCGTAATAAATTACGTTTTCGAAGTTCTTTTACTTGTGATGTGATTAAAATGAAAAGTTTATAATGATTTGATGTATTTATCTCAATGTTACTATTTACGGTAGGGTGAATTTTTTTAATTTCCTCTTCCTCTTCTTCCTTCCCTTCAACTTCTTCCTCCTCCTCTTCATCATCATCTATATTGTCTAGATCTTCTTCTATATATCCATTACTTCCATCATGTCTATCATAATCATAATCTTCATGATCGAACTCCGGATCAGTTACATCCTTACTATTAGTCTCACTACTATTTGTTAAACCTTTCGTTTTGGAAGATAAATCAATTGAACTATTGTAATAATTCTGAATACCAAAAAGTAATATGAATATTATTATTATAACAAATACTATTGTGAAAATCACCATATATGTGTTGAATTTTTGACGACGATGTCGTCTTGGTTCTGATGATGATGATGACGTATCATTAGTATTTGCTCTCAATATATCAAACATGTTTTCTTTTTTTTTTTAAAAAAAAAAAAAGTTGCCCTATAGGTAAAGTTGAAAAAAGATTTTTGTAAAAAAGATTAAAAGGTTTGGTTAACAAGACAAAAAAAGAAAGAAATATAGGGCGAAAAAAAATAAATGCGTAATGTTTTTATGTCGTTCAACACAAACATAACAAATGCATGACTTATATGTAATCCAATTAAAGGGAGCATAAAATTATTACCTCTTTTGGCTTTCTAGAATTCTTGTCTCATACTTAAGTGTTACGTACAAATGATTTTTATTATTTATTAATGCTAAGTTTATTCAGAATACGTATATTAATTACTTTTGCATAAATTTATGTCAATTAGTTGACTTGGCAGTACAATAACATACGTACAGTATGCATTTATCTGACAATCTGGGAACCGATGTTTTACTATGATTACAGAGTAATCTAACGAGAAAGAGTTAATTTCTCGTTATCAATTCAAACAATATCTCACCTATCGCCTATCACTATACGATATAGTACTATCATTCAGGTGGTCATTATATTGCTTTTGCCATGATTTGAAACTTTTTAATGCTTTAAAGGCACATTAAAAGTATATCAAGATCCGTTATTTTATGAACTACTCATAACTTTTATTACGTATTAAATCGATGAATCTCGTTTCACCAACAACAATTTCCACAAGATTGGCTTGGCGTCAAGGTTTGAAATTGGTTTTATTTTCATATATTACTGTATTAAAGTCGGATTTAATCGATTTAACGTGAAAAAATAAACCATGTTCCAAACTTTAGGTTGGCCCGATTTAGTGTTAGCATTGGTTACGTATACGTACGTATATACGTATGTATGTACGTACGTAACGATCCGTAACAGGTAATAAAAATTGGTGAAACGTAGTGGAATTTTGAATGATACATACATATAAAAAAAAGCAAGTGGTTTACTATCGATTACAACGCATTAAGTAACATTTGAGTACCGTCAATTTCTATTTTCTTGAATAGTAATATTTTTCTTAGCTTAAGCAGATAATTCATTTGTTATGCCTTGTTTTACTTTCTGGTTATAAGAAATTCTTGGTTCATTAGATACAGTATTTGCTCCGTTTCAGCTAAAGTTGTTCTTTCGATCTCTTTTACTTAACTCGTTATTTATATTTTCTTTATGTACTAATTTATAAAATATTTTTTATTCTTTATCTTTTAACGATTAATTTCGTTAGAACAAGTTCATTAAGGTTAAATGTATTTGAAATTGTATTATCTATCTGCTTTGAAGTGTTTAGAGTTACTATGTTGATTCATTTTATATTTAGCTAACTATCAAAATATTTATCTTAATAAAAAAATCCACTAAGTTCAAAATTATTAAAATCCAATTACAGAATCATAAAATAATTATAATTTTGTATTATTATTATTTTTAAATTTCATTAACATGTCAGAATGTTTATTAGATTTAATATTTACATAATGTAAAAAAATTATACTTAACAGTTATATAAAGTGTTTTGATTTTTTAAATATTTATAACTTTTTATTTAAAAGGTTTAAACAATTATAATTAGTAATTTTATAAAACTATATTAGTTCTATATATGTATTAAGATCTTTTTTTTTTTTATTAAAGGTTATACTTTACAATAATATTTTTATTGACATACAGAAAATAACAAACTGGTAAGAGTATCTAAACTTTTTAAAAAAATATTAGTTTCTAGTCAAATAAAAGATATACTAGAACAAAATATTTGAAAAACAAAAATATAAAAACTATATGTATATTATATAAAAAATAATTAACTAAAAAATTATACAGTAATAATATTTAAGAGTTAGCAAACAATAAGTCATTTAAATACGTATATACAATTACTAGTTGTCAAAAATAATATAAATCAGAAAAAACAAACTTAAAAACTATAATTTAAACAAAAAAGAATACTACAAAAAAATATATAGCAATTTATAATAAAAAATAGTTTAAATTATTAAGTAATTTGAAAAAACTTTTAAAAAAAAGAATTTAAATAAAAAAGAATTAAAAAACAGGTAGCAAAAGGTTTTAAAAATAAATAACATAAAACAAGAAATATTAAGAACAAGAAATTAAAACTAAAAACTTTAAAAATAAGAAATAGTAATTAGATTTAATAATATAAATAATACTAATATAAAAAAATTTTTTTTAAAAAAAGACAAAGTTAAGTTCTTGTCTTAAAAAAAAGTTTAGATATAAAAAATATTCTGAATCAAATTTTAAACAACTAAAAAAATTAAAAAAAAAACAAATAAGAAAACAAAAAAAATTTTTGCTAATTGTTATTATAATTAAACTAATAAAAATAGATATAAAAACAAACATTTTTTATAGAATTAAAGATTAAAATAATGTTTAATATAAGCAAAAACTATATACTAAAAATATCAAAATAAAAAAAAAAGAGTTAAAAATAAAAAATATATATATAAAAGAATTTATACTAAAATTAAATCTGTTAACTTATAACATTAATAGTTTTAGTTAAAAGCTTTTATAGTTATTAAAAAATTTTTTTCTTCTTTAACAATCTTGCTAAGTTTTTCTTTATATCTTTTATACTTCTTCTGAACTAATGTTCTTAATATTCAAGATTACTAAACCTTAACCTTGGTTTGTACTTTTAAACTTTTTAAAAACAATTGTTATACTAATCTCTGCCAGAATTAAAAAGTTTTATTAAGCTCTGTATAGAACTAACTATTGCTATAAGTTTATATAGAATCTCTTATTGTCAAACTTCTAGTTTTACATTATGTTTCATAGTTTTAGTTATTTCAAATTAGGTTCTGACTTATATTCATCATTGTATAGCTTCTCAACTGCAAATTATTTATCATTTTTAGAAATAAGTCTGTCTTTGAATGTTCTAAGTTTCTAATTCTATGATATTACAGTTTATTATTTTAGAAATATATTTCTACAATTGCTATCATTAAAATTCAAACTAGCAGACTTGTAATTTGTAACCTTAAAGCATAACCACTAGGTTATTAACTCTAAAGATTATAGTTTTTTTTTTTTCCTTAAGCAGTCATGCTAGTGTTTTATTAAAATTTTGGAATTACATTTGCAATTACATAAATATTTTTAACTATCAAGCTTAGCATCACCTGGCCACCCTAATAGTACCTAAGTACAACTTGCTGCATTACTTCAAGCAGAAGTAAGCTACTTATCTGACTACTTAAAGTCCATAATGAAAGGGTCTTCTCCCTTTCATAACAAGCTCTAAAATTGTTTTCTGTACTTCTTTTCTAATTGTTTTTCTTTTTCTTTTATTTTTTCTTTTTTTTCTTCTGTAACTTGCCAATTTGGTTTTTCTTTTTTACTTAGTGCTTTTCTTTCTTTTTTTTTTTTTTTTTTTCTTTTTATTCTACCTGTTATGCTTTTATTTTCCTCCTATTTATTAATCTTTTTATATTAGATTTTTTACACTTGTTTGTAAAATGTATTCCAGACTGTTCTTGCAATTATATTCATAAACTGCTGTTTTGATTTTGTGCTTAGAAACTGCCTCAATCTGTTCTGTGTTTTTTTTGGAATAAGACTTTTAATTAGTGTCTTTCTTATTTTAATTTTCTCTACTTCTGTTTTCTCAAAAAGCACTGTATATAATATGTATGAAGGAACTTGAACTTTTTTTTCTTCCTTTAATCTCTTTCAAGCTGTTGCAATAGTTACTTTTTGAATTCTTTTTCACAGGTTGCTTTATTTCTTATATGCTAACAAATATGCCTGTATTTCTTTTGTTTTATCTTAACAAACTTGGCATTTTGTCATTGTATATATTTCTGGTTTTCTTTTGTTAAGTTCTTCTAGGATTAGAAGTTTATTCATTATGCATTTTATAAATACACTTCTTCTGGCACTACTTCTTCTTGTTGTGCAGTGTACTTCTTTAAATATCTTCAGTTTATTTCAAAAGTATATCCAATCATAAATTATAACTTCTGTTTCTGATTCTAGAGCTCTAATTGCCTTCATTTCTTTCTATTCTGCTTCTAAGCTTGCATTCATTATTAATTTGCATAGTAGTCTTAATGGTATATTAGTATATTTGTTTTCCCACTCTAAACAGTACTCTATCTCTTTGCAACTAACTTTTCAACCTGTATTATCTCTTTACTTGTTGCACCTTTTTTTGCTAGATTATCAGTTTTATCATTTCATCTATCTTTACTGTGGTTCTTAACTTTAACAAACTCTATCTGAATATTCTTTATTCTAATCAACTCTCTAATTTTCATCATCTATATTGTGTTTTTCTTTTTAAGAATCTTATTTCTGCATGCTTGTTCTAAACCTCTACTAATGTTTCTTATTGTTGCATTACTATCTGTATATATTTTTACTTGCTTTTCTCTTGGTATTGTTAGAATTGCAGTTCATATTGCTACTAATTCAGCTATTGTTGATGTTTGCTATCCTTCTAAGCCTAATACTAACTCTTCTTCTAGCCATTCTTATGTTTTGTTTGTTTGCACCCACCCTATGCCTATACTATTTCTGCTTTTTGTGTCTTCTTTGGTCTTCAGGTTTGCTGCTTCATCTGTATATATTATATACTTGTCCTTGTTTCTTATTATATTTCTTCTTAAGACTTCTACTATTTCTTGACTAATACTGTCTTTTAACTTTTGTCGCCTGATTATCTCTACTTCTGGCTCTTTTATTATTCTTAGTCTCTTGAGTTTCTGTTTACCTATCTTTAGTTTATTCATCTTTATTGTTTCTGTTATTTGATCTATTGCTATTTTGATCTTATTGCTGCCTTTTTTTATCAATGCATCTGGAATTACATTAATTCTGTTATTTACTTTTATTTACTGTTAGCAGATATTTTCTTGATGTTTTTCTTTAGTACAACCATTATATCTGCTAATTTCGATAGCTAATTCACTTTCTTTACTCTGCATTTGCTAGTGTTCTACTAGTATTTTTTTTTTCTTCTTAACTATCT